AGTTGCTTCTTGACATAGGTTGCTAAGCCTTTAAAAATTTTGCACGTGGAGGATATGTTTTATATATATACATTTGAATTACTAAAAAATCATAAATTACTACATTAATACCACAGAATTCCACTATAATTCATCTAGCTTGATAACTAAGATGTATTTTAATCTAAAAAATATAAAATATCGAGCAGACTAAAGACACACCCTACATCGTTTAAATATTGGTTCAAAAGAAAGAAATGGTGCCAAGACCATTAAAATGACTGAAAAAGCCACTAGGGGGACATTCTGAGCTTCCAATTGGTTATTCATATCATAGATAGAAGTAAGTGTATATATGGGAGCATTTCCAAAATTTAAAGAGGTGGACGAGATGCCACTATATTTGATTTATTACATGATCAATATCTTAGCAAATGGAAAAGATAAGAGGCTCTTATTTTATATTTTAGCTTGTCAATATCAGTAATTTGAGTTTCTAATTCGTTTGAATCTATAGACTTAGTATTTTGACTTCACAAACCTCTAATTTGAACCAGTGCTACATTCAACATACCATGTGACATACAAAAATTGATGTTTACCAAACTTACTGACATAAAGTCATGAAATAGTAGTTTGAATATGCGTCAACCAATGAGATGACATGGCCTTTCAACCTTGACCCGTCTCAAAAAGGTTAAGGAGGATTCCTCCACAGTCCACCACCCCAGTGGCTTGGAACTGGAAAGCGGTAAAGATCTGCAAACTCCACTAGAAGAAGTCTAGAGTCTGGAGGAACGACAACACCAAAGATAGTGCAATGGGTGACCACAAAACCCCATATTGAAAAGCAGACTATACCAATTTATTCAAAACAAGACATGACATGGATGGGTAGCTATCCTCTTCTGCTTTACCCATGAAGTCCATGGGTAAGTACAGTCCAGGACAGACATATTAATGAAGCAAATATATTGCGAGGATAAACCTACAAGTGATCTTTTGGAACACCCAATTTCAGCAGTGTGTGTTTAGTGGCCATTCAATTATAACTGTTAAGTCATCACAGCCTTACAATGCAGCTTTTATTGTTTATGTATACCTTTACAGGTACACTTTCCACAGAGCAGGGTTCCATAAAGAAAAAAGAGAGACATGCCCCTGAAAAATAAGATGTATATATATAGAAAAAGGTAACTTAACCGGTCACAGTCTCACGAAAGAGTGAAGGATGGCAACAGGTGGATAATGGTACCCCAACAAGAAAGAAACAGCTACCCAAAGTAGAGAATGGGAAATGAACATATGAGGTGTATTCCCAATGCTTGACAGCTGAAGTACCTCCAATGGAAAACAGGTTTGATATGCATGGAAAAGGGAAGGTGCATGATTGGAGTGAAGACACCATGAATTGGTAATGGGAAGAAGGATACAAGGAATAAGGGGCCAATCAAATCACAACCCAAACCCAATGAGTTGGGGAGGAAGGAAAAAAAATCACAGGCAAAGCAGTGGAGTAAGGGAAGGAAATCATGAGAAATAGATTCAATGAAAAAAAAAAACCTTGAAAACAATGAAGCAACCTAACGCATGTACTGGACTGAAAAGATCATCTGGAATTGAAGGATAAGAAATGTGGAAGATGGTACGAAATGGAAAAGTCAAAACGAATATACCACATGAGCCAACATGAAAAAATGCAGGTTAACCCTCTCTGCCCGGGCATCATTTACTGCGCATGTAAAGAGGTTTTAGTGGCTTACATTCAAAATTTTATTAAACTACTTTTTTTTAAGTTATACCAATTAGTATAACATAAAACCAAAGCTAATAATCCATATTTTAATAGTACACAAGTTTTAAGTTTTTATTTTATAAGGCAATATTTTAAAAAATACCTGAACTTCCCCCTTGTGGGATACATGTGTCAAATTTTCTGTAGGTATCTTCTCTTCTCTATTTTATCCACCACCCCTCCATTAAGTATGAAATTTAACGTAAATTACTCACTACAAAATTGTCATTGCTCAGACAAACCATAATTTTTATAGCCTTCAATTTTGTTTGGTTACAAAGCCGTCAAATAGAAAATTAGACCCCTCTTGCCACACCCACCTTTCACATCCTTAATTTCAGGATTTATAAACAGTTCTATCTTATGTTTAATTCTATATTATCTATAAACAATAGAAAGCCAAGGTTTTCATCTATCAAATGAAGTCATATATAACACTGTTTTCTGAACAGATAAATTTCAAAACACAGTGAGTACAAGCTTCATTCCAAAGGGAAATATAAAAACTAGCTTGGTTGAATTTCTAAAAGTTCTTGTAGTATAGTTAGAAAACCAGAAAACTTGAGATAGTTAAAGAAAATTGTCTACTTTTTGCATGTTATTATTCTATATTCTTTGGTGCATCATTTAATTAAATAAAAATTATTTAGTGCATTACTCCAAATAGTATAAAAAGTAGGGTTAAGTGTCATTGACAGTTAACAGAAAAAAAAAGAAGACATGGGTAAGTACTTTATTTCTTGTTTTCCATGTTTATTCTTTATTTATAATTATAAAAGTAGCTAAAATGTAAAAATAGGGATCTCTTTAGGTTAGAAGGTTAGATCAGGTAAAATAAATAGTAATAATAATAATAATACAATAAAAATGTTTCATACAGCATGCAAGCAAGCAGCTTGTGGGTAGTGTAATTCAATAGCGTAATGTGAGCTCCACATCCCCCAAGTGATTTACAACTTATAATGGCATGAAAAGTAGTTAGACTTGGTTCAAAGAGCAATAAAACAATAAAACTTAAGTATAAATAGATGTATATTGTTAAGATTTTAAAGCTACTTTGGAAAACGAATGTAGTTTCATGTTATAATTTGAAGTCATTCTAAAAAGAAATAAGGGGTAACATAGATTTATTTAAATTTTTTTTGGTGGTTACGAGGTCGGTCAAATTGACCAATATTGTATAGTTATGGTAGAGAAGATAACGGATAAAATGTAAAGTTTTACTGAAAACAAACATTTGAAATGTATTTAGGAGGTTTTAGAGATTACACAGATGAAATTTGAGATTTTCAAGATGAAGAAAAGTATTTTTAATCTTAACATGAAAATCATGTTGCACAAGAATAGTCAAAACAAATACCCAATATATGCATAGACAAATCTTTTTTAGTTTATTAAAAATATTTCACTAAAATATGATTTTTTGTATGTGAAAGACACAATGTTTACTGAAAGTCTGCCAAATCTTATGAAAATATACACATTATATTAAAAGATAGTAGTATCAAAACTACACTGTTTCAAATTCTGTGTTAAGACAGATGCAGGTTTTTACATTTTTCTAAACATGTGAAATGTTTAATACTTTTACGTCAACGATTGAGTCTAGCACAAAAAATACTATTATTATAATTTGTTAAAACACTTTATCAGCAATGTTTGTGAACATGATACACTTACGGAAATATCCAAAGAGGCCTCCGACAAACTCTGGACTTAAGTCAAGATCGTTCTCAACAGGCAAAACAGGTGTTTGAATCCAGTCGTTGTTCTTGTATCCTGTACGGTGAAAAAGAGTGTCAATTTAATGGCTAATCTACAAGCCACAATACATACATGCACAGCATACCTTCTTCAGAGTAGATGCAACTATCTGTATAGATTATTTTTTCTAGTGTATGTAACACAAATAATAGATACCTATTATGATCAGTTAGAGTGAAAAATAACTTTAAATGAAACTCATACAAAACTGTATATTTTATTCAGTAAAAAATATTTTTTTCAGAATATGTTTATCTACATGGGCTCGTTGTCTATCTCAACTAGATTCATTCTCCCACATCTAATTTTTTTCTTAACACACTTTTTTTTTACTGACTTATTAAGCTTTTTCTATGTGGCCCTACTGCTATAATTTTCACTGTACCTACAATATAACTTTATCAAAATGAAAACATTGATATGATTGAATATTCATGTGTTTTTTAACCATGTCAGACATGTAGGTATTTTGCAAATGTTTTCACATATCCATGCACCAGGAATAAAACATAGATGACAACTTCCATATTGTTAAGGTAGCTCAGTAGTAATTTTTTGGAGATTTTTTAAATAAAAATAAATTTACTGCTGTTTCAATTTACATCTGTTTGTAAAAAATTGCCAAATGAAGTAAAAGATTGCAAAGATGGCACTAGTAATTGACATTACAAGCACTCTTTATTTTAACCTGGTAGATGATTGATAATCTCAGTTTCACAGAAAAAATTTTAACAATATGTAAATCAGTTTATGAATCACAACTACTGATAGTCAGGACTAACATGATTGATTGTCATTTTGTGCTGCTGTCCAATAGTATTTCAAACTGGTACTATTAATGATCAAAAGTTCACAGACGACTACTGTTGACAGTTGAAATTCATGAAGAACTGTTGTTCAGAGTCTAAATTCATAAATGTTAATAGTCAAGACTATACAAGCAAATGTACCCATCCTCTATGGCAAGAAAAGTTTAATTTCATCTATCAATTTAAATTATTTCTTAGAATTTAAAAAGGTTAATTGTGTTGCACTCTTGGTTTCACTCCATGCCAAAGCTCTGGGGTGTTTATACTGCACACTGCAAAAAATAATTGTAGGGTACTTCAGTCATGCTAAGAGCTCAACAATAATATACAGTAAATCTACATTTTTATTCTTTAAGTTACATCACATCTTGAAACGTGAATGATAGTGTGATTAATTCCTAACAATTTTAGTGTAGAATATCCTGCTTGCATCAACATTATTCATGCCTGGTCTACCATCATTTCTAAAGTGAATGTTGAGCTTTTCAAACAGGAGACTGACGAATGCTCAGACAGACACCATGGTTCACTATATATATATACATGTATATATATATACACACACACACACAACTGCTGGTAAAGTTAGTACAGAACTGATATAAACAGAGC